AGAACATACACATGTACATTCCCAGAACATACCATGAACATACAGTGTATTAACTCTGACAGATTCCTGGGACATGCATGGAATGTTCATAATGGAACTCATGTATGTCCCAGGAATATGCATGTACATCACATGAATGTCCCAGGTATATTCTGGGAATATCATTTCGCTATGTGGGTTGCACTGAATTTAGATTTTTTCTAGCAAGACTAATTGCAGCCTGATAACAATTTTTTTTTCATGCAAAGTTTAGAGCTTGACATGTCTTCAGGTCCGCATCCCAAAGGAAACCGCGCACCCGAACCAATCAAAGATCTCAGTCAGAAATGCACCGAAGTCCGAGCTCTAGCAGTACCAGAAGCAGCACTTGCAGTACTGGCGGCCGGCCCCGATCCGGCCCTGCGGGTCTTCGAAGTTTGGGTAAGAAATAAAAAATCGCTTAATAACTTTCATTCTTTATTTCTATTGCATATTGCGCAACATTTCACCAGCTAACACAAAAACAAGTAGCTTAGTTTAGGGATTCAGTCTAGATTCGAGGAACAGTAAATACTAATAAAATGCTTTGGTGGGAAACTACTGTTTGTCTTTTCCGTCCCCGATGTGCTCCACCTGGATGGGTTTCCCCTGCGAAATTTCCTGGGGCTTTCTTGGGGCGGTGACTGTTAGAACGCCGTCCTCGCTCAAATTGGACACCACCCCTTTCAAGTCGTGTCCTTTGGGCAGGACGAACCTCCGCAGGAACTGTCGGGAAATGAAGCCATGATCGTCCTCGCGCTCCTCATGTTTTCCCTCGATTTCAATGGCATTTTCATCGGTCAGAGTTTTCACTTTCAGTTCTTCCGGCTTGAAGCCCTCCACATCGAGTTTCACTTGGAACTTGTCCTTCAACTGGGCAACTGCCGCCTGTTCAGATTCGGGGTATTTGAAGAAGTAGCTCGGTCTGTTGACGAAAGGCGACCGATCGAAGAATCTCTGCTCGATCATTTGCATCTCGTTCTCCAACTGTCTCCAAGGGCGCATCATGTCCCTGAACAAAATTGGCACTAGTCTGGACATTTTCACTAGAAATTTCCACAAGAATCGTTTAAAGAGCGTTTAATGTCGGCGCGTTTATTTCAGCTGTGGCAGCTTTCAAAGCGATGATTAAACTGACGGCATTCGCCATCCCGACGCTTTTTATATGGAAAAGGTGACGTTCTCGGAACGTTCGGAAATCGCTAGAAAACTCGCGTTCTAGATTTGTCTGGTTGCGCTCCGAGAAAACAAGTCGCTAGAGCTACACTGCCCGACTAAATTTGCTGGTGCAATCGCTAAAATTATAGCAATTATTGTTCTAACGAATTTTCTTAAACCAACATATGCTTATTGCAAAAATAATCATAAACACTTTTGGGGCTTTCATTAAAACAAACAAGTTTTTCCCCGGTTAAACCATATAATATGTTGCTTTCCCTCCCAGTGAAGCCAGTTTTTCTAAAGTAAAAATGCTGTGCTTTAATTATAATAAGCGCTTGTATACAGAAATTAATGGAGATGAGGAGAAATACATCTTCAAAGTGCATTTGATCTTAGAAAACTCAACACCTTTTTTAGCATGCTTTCAATTTAAGCCTCTGTTTCAGTTTTCACAAAGAGATAAGTTTAGAACAGCGAACCAATCTAAGTCCACTTAATGCGCAAAATTTTAGAGTTTATCTACTCGACTTTTCCTTTGAAGAGTTTTGATCAGTCGCCAATAATGTTTGGGAGAAAGCAAATATCGGTCTAAATTCTGAATGAATAAATGGACATAATTGTGATTTTTAGTTCTCATTTATATACCAATTCGCAACAGTCACTTCTGTGCATTCGTTTAGTTTTTAACCGATTTTTTCCTTTCAACTGCAGGCTTCCGTTTAATGTCTAACTTCTAGTCTAGAGCGACAAGAAACCTGAAGTTCTGACCATCCATACAAGACGTTTGAATATTAACTTTATAAACTGTTTTTGAGGAAGCATTGTATTCTGATTTTCTGCATCTCTGCAATCCTACTCTAGAAAAAAGTTTTCAGAAAACTGGCCTTTGAAAAAATTTAATTTCCCATCCAACGATCACCTTAAGATTTTTACTACCTGTGTATAAAATAGTCTAGATTCAGAAAAATTTAAAAATTTAATCAACGTCCTCAAGCTTTGCAAATGCTGCCCTCAATTTAATACACAATTTTGCAGCCTCTCCTTTTAAAACTCATAACTTTCAATCAGGCGCAAATAGAAACTTAAAGTTTTTACCATTGATAGAAAACACTTACGCATGCCAACTGTTAAATTTTCATTAGAATTGCGCCATTTTATCTGGAGTTTTTCCCACTTGCACAAGGTTCAAAAATTACCGAATTGACAAATTTTCAAGCATCCTGAAAAAAACTTCTAAACTGAATCTATAAGCTCCTTGAAATTCTCGCAGTCTATAGATTTTAAGCCTATTTAAAGCCTTGAAAGTTACATCAAAATCGTACTAAATCCTGATTTTTGGCGACTTCGTGTAACTTTTCCGCAAATCATCAGTTTTACACAACTGCACTCCCAGTTTGAAAACTCCCTAACTTCTGATCTCCAGCATCTTGAGATTTTTATCCTCTATTGAAGACACTTGAGTATCAAATTTCTGAGATTTGTATTTAAATCGCGCTTTTCCATCTTAATATTCTTGCCAACGTTGTAGATACTGATAGAAAATTTCCTTTATTGCAATATTGTAAACTCTTAACTTTTAATTTGGAAACAACACGCAACTCGGCGAAATTCTCACGCTCCATAGAAAAACTGATTACAACCATAGAAAGTCGTGATTTTTGCTTTTTTTTCAACGATAAGATCAGTTTTTTCAAAGTGCAAGATTTCTGTCTAAAATGCATAACTGCTTATCTGGGGCAAGTAGCGACTTGAAACTCTTACAGCCCACGGCAGACATTTATTTCTGAAAACCCCGAGAAAACTATTGAAATTAAAAAAATTCAAATTACATAAACATGTCTAAAAAAATATTTTTACATATCTGTATTCATATATTGAACAATTGTCTCATTTGCAGAAACTGCAAAATTTTTAGTGTTTTTTCATAAAAAAGCTCGTTTCCACAGCACCAATGCTTTATTTTTTCACCGTGCCAAAAGCAAGAGTGTAATCAAACAAGTGCGGGCTCGTTTAAAATTCACAGCTTCTAATCTGCAGCAAGCAGAAACTTGAAACTCTCAGAATCAATTGAAGAAACCTGGTAGTGAGTTCTAGGAAAATTCCATCCATATTGCAAAAAATCCTGATTTTTCTGATACTGATATCTGGTGTAAAGTGAACTTTGCACTCTCTGGCGGAAAAAATGTCCAAATATTAATCTAGAACACGAAACATGCATTGTAATTTTTCCTTCCATCCACAGAAGATACTGGCTACGCAATGAGTGGTGCAAATTTCATTCTAATCAGAAGAAAACTCGAGTTTTCTCACTTTTTCAAGTGGAAATGCAAAAGTCAGTCTTTCAAACGACAAGGTCTTGTTTTAAAATGAGTGCCTTCTAATTTAGAACCAGTAGGAACTTGACCACTAGAATAAATCTAGTTCTAAACGCCGGTAAAATATTATTATTAAATCCCGATTAATCATATCAAACTTTGATATTTTCCACATTTGCCGGTGCAAAAATCACTATTATTAGAACAAGTGCAAACTTTTCTGTTTATATCTTCTAACCTGGAGCTACTGAAAACTTGAAATTACTAGAACCAATAGACGAAATCCGGTTCTAAACACCTGAAGAATATTGTTCGGATTGCGTTAAATCCTGATTTAAAGTAATCTTCTTCACATAACTGCACTGTCTGCCAAAAAATTCCCAACTACCAATTTAGAGCTGGAAGCATCTATTATGAAATTCCCTCAATCAACAGACCATTGAGACAAAATCAATCAATTTGTTATTTTTGTACTCCACAAAAGGCCTACAATTTTCTGGAAGTTTCGGAAAATCATAAAAAATGCCCAAGCAATGAACACTTTACAACACACTGAAGCAAACAAAGATATTGTTTCAGCTTCAGCTCCACCATCACGATCAGGCAGCCGAGTCGACTTGTCCTCCAGTGGGATGAACTTAACAGCTCCATCCACTCCCCAATGCAGCCCTCCGGTCTCTCCTTTGAGGAGGAGAGGCACTCAAGGCCGGGTCCAGGTTCCTTTAGCTCTTAAAGAAGACGATTTTGACGAATTATAGCGGCAATTTGATCATCTGCTGAGGCGACAATCTCATCGAATTGAACAGAATTAGAAATATGGAAGAAACAATGAGCAATATATTGTGTATGCGACTTTAGGTCGCAGGTCTGGATACTAGGTTGTGAAGGAATGAGAATCATTGCGCAATCAAAGATACATATTTCACTTACGGTTAGAGCTCAAAAAACATGTTTGCAATAAATAGTTCTTTGTAGGAAGGTTTGTGAGTAACTCCTCTGTCCATTGCGTTTAGTTGTCTGCCCATTAAGGATAGAAGTTACTGTAGGCGATTTAGTTATCATATCAACTTCGGAACTAGGTATAACTGTGATAGGAGCTGTGCTAGTTGAAGAGTTTGATATTGATTTTTTGCTTGCGTGTCCTTTTTCCTTTCAAGATCGAATTGATGTGAGTTCTTTGGCAGGTTTGCGGGAAATTGATAAAAAAGTTGTGATTTTCGAAAGCTATTTTAAAAATTAAGCGATATTTGACAAGTCCATTTTTATACGAGAACAAGGGCCGTTTTCCGCAGTTAAATTCGGCCATGATCTTCGAGAGTTTTATATGGCTTTTGACTTATGTAGGTGGTAGATAGATCGCATTAAACAACAAATATTCAATTATAACGAATAGAGGCAATATTTTTAGTGATAACGCAACATTGTTAGAGTTTATATTGTTAAAGCGATTTTAAAAATACATTTTAGCAATAACATATCAACTATATATTTACACTTTTTAAAACGTCGCGCTCTAATTATATAATAGGGGTTTGATGTGGTTTTATTTGGAAAACATTCTCATAATGGAGGTTTTGATTTACCCAGTAGAGCACTAGCAAGTTTGTTGAAAAGTGGGCTTTTATAAGTGAAAGTTACTTGGCTGATTAAACCGATTCATTGCTTCGTATGATCAGTAATCAAGAATTGGCGAGTTTTTTCAGCGGGTACACTTAAATATAACAATGCTTACTAGGTGATACGCAAATGCGCGAAAAACTGTAGCAGTTACTACTATAGAATTATCTTTAGGGTGGAAAGTGGAAAAAGTGGCCACTTCAAGCACAATTTTTACTTAGTGTTTTACTCACTATAATTGACACTTTGCTATGTTGATTGCTGAATTGAAAGTTTTTATTCCATTTGTGTGTTTCTCCCATTTTTGGACCAAAAGAGTTGTGCTACCTTAAAACGATTATAGCGCTGTGGAAGTCTGGTACCTATCGAAAACAGTTGTCCCGAAACGGTCCATATTTAAAGAGTTATATGAAGAAAAATATATAGCGTTGTTAAAAGTAGTTTGTTAAGAAATGTATAATTTTCAACACATTGAAGAGATATCTGAATATATTGCTTTTAAAATATATGAAATTCGAGTGTTATTGTATGTGGAATAACCAAATTTCCTCGATACTAAACCAATGGGTTTAAATAAGCGGGATAAAAGCTTGTGTATTTTCTTGTGCCGAAAACATGTTCGTGTGTGCGATTTTCAGAAATTGTGGTTTACTTTTCGAATAATCAGAGGAACCAAAAAATCACCAAGTAGATTTGAACAAATTTTCAATAAAATGCCAAACTTCAGATCTTGAACGTATTGAAGAACAATTGGAGGAACTAAAAAGAAGTATAACTAACTAATTCTAAGTGAAAACGAAAAACGAACGCGAATGAGAAAAAAATTGGTACAATGACCGGGACAAAACTAAGTATCAAAAATCGATAGCATAATTGCTCACAACTATAAAAGGTTACTGGCATTAAAATTAGTCAAGCAAAAGATAAATATTATGGGAACAGATGTGGGGAAAGCAACGATTTAGACAGAAATGACAAAACCTGCAAAGAACGTGAAGGAGTTTATACAAACCCAGAATAAATTAAAGATGCAAAAAACAAATACAAAGAGAACTAAATTAACGCTTAAGCAATAATGTTTTAGATCTAAACAATTGCTTTCTTTAAGCAAACGGGTTATAAAGTATAATTACTTCAAATGAGAGAAAACCCCGTTTTTTCCTTGGTTGTTCAAACTGTCGCAGATGCTTTGAAGATAACGAAACCTACAGAAATTAACATTTTTCCTATGTGAAAATCGGATGGTTGGCACTCTTAAGCTCCAGATAACGAATTAATTTGTTTTTGAAGCAAAACTGAAAAAAATTGCCAACAAGTTTCGCAATCATTGACCAACAATGCGAGGAAATAAGAAGAAATATAATTAACAATTGTGAATAAATTCTAATTGAAGCCAAAGGCAAAAACACGCAGTGGATGACGAAGGAACGAATTAAATGGTGACGAAACCGAAATCAATGTTTATTTATCATGAACGACAGAAGATTATTTAAAAAAAGGAAGGGAATTTCCTTGGATAGTCCGAGGAAGATAAAAAAAAAACACAATTTTTGAAGAAATAGCAGTGCTGATGGGCTTTTGAACATGGCATTTGAAGAAGAAGAGGTTTTCAAACTGGAGTAAAACATTGGGAATTTTGATGGCTTTTTCAGACTAATTTCGGCATGGACAAGTTGCGATTGTTTGGAATTTCAATGTTCAAAACGCCCCAAAAGGGTGAACCTTTTTCAGAAAATTTAAAATTAAACCACCAAATGGGCAAAAACATCTGACTCATATTGCTAGTGAGTTCTTTTGAGTTAAAAAAAACTTAATTACAAGGTTTTTTATGTGTTTCATTACGCTTCCCTTGGCAATCTGAGCCCCAAATAAAACCCTGCACAGGTGCGCCCAGTGAAGCCCCTATAAAAAAATAAAAAAATCCTATAGGGTTGATGGTCTAAATAACGTCCTAACTAGGTTCTCCCTTCCACTTAAGGGCCCATTATTTCGCCAACTGGGGTATTAAGTATTTAAGGGCCGGGATGGTTAAAACGCGTTTAGGCAGACTATTCCGGATACTCTGAAAACCCTAATGGTGTGTGATATGTTACTTCACTTATTGCGTTCTGTGGGGGCATTTGCCGCAGAAGGGAAACACGGCGCCTTTTATATATTTTCTACCTTTTGATGTGGCTTTAAAGTCTCCAGGTGAAGCGTTTTTTTATGGATGCAAAACGTACGCTATCACCGATATATCTGGCGTCTAAATCCTCGGAGGAAACGCAAGCCGGAAATCTCCAACAATTCATTTCGTTCTAGGATATAAAAGTACGAACCAAGGCGTCCAAAAATCTCGCAAACTTCCAGCAAACTTATTTATATGGATATTTTCTATGCGGGAAGTTGTAAATGGGTATAAACAGATACACAATAAGGAAAGTTTGGTTGTTATTGTGGCAAGATCAGGGCACAACGAAGGGAAAGGTTTAGAAGCCTCTCAGAAACATCTAATAATGTCTGTGACATATTTGCTGCAAAATTGGCTGATTTAGGCACTTCAACAGCAAAAACATATTGAGAAAATTACGGAAAATGAAATCTCACCAAAACATTGCAATTAAACTTGTTGCCTTTGGCAGTAAAACTGCGCAAATTGATGGTTTTTCACATATTAAATTGCAAAGGAATTGAACGTTTAGCGCCTGTTTTTGATTAATTGGCAAGCCGAAAAGGAACAAACAAAATAGACACCCCGGTCGGAAACTGGGCGTTACCGACACGAACCTCATAAAGTTTCCCGAGGCTTTTAAGAAGGTGCAATAAACTTATCAATTCTTGTCAGCCAACGCTGACGTTCATTATACGACCATTAAGAACGGGAAGGGTATGGATGAAAGACGATTTTGAAAAACCGAAATATGTCAACCGGGGCGTTTAAATTGTGAGTGTGCGATTTGCCGAAGGAATGAGCCAATCTGTTCAGGAATTTTCGAGTTTTAACTGGAAATTATGCCCAAAAGGCAATTTAATAACTTTTAAAGTTCCATCTAGTTTGAGAAAATTGCCTCTCAACTTAAAGCCGAGTGATGTTAAATCGGGTGGTATCGCAGGCCACTGTGGCCAGTTGGTCCAAATCAAAAATCAGCATACCTAAGTTGCAGATAAGTTCTATATGGTTGAGGCGGATTCATTTTTACAAACTTCTTTTTGGGTATTTCGCCTCAAAAATTTTTGTCTTTAAAAGAGACAGAATTTCCTCACGTCTTTTATTAC